CCTTTGGCTGAGACAGGAACAGTCTAAATACTGCGTCAAGAGCCAAAACACCTTTCACTTTATCATTTCTCACTTTGTTTATTTCAAGTGTTGCACAGCAGTTTGTGAAAAAAGCAACTTATCACTAAAACTTAAAGCCACAAAGAAACCTGAAGTGAGCATCCAAATCAGGCGAGTAGTCACATGTGTGCAAGATAGTCAAGCATTCACCTAAATGTATTATAGGAGATGGCCATAATTGCTACACCCAGGAGACCCGAAGCAGATAGGAAGGGCCCCCCCACCCCCAATTACTAGGACAACCAGCAGCATCCATGTGGAGAACGAAAGGAAAAACCAGGAACAGTCGTAGAAAAACCAAGATGTAGCCCATCTTGCAGCTGAGGTGAGTCCCAGGTTGAGCCCCTACAACTGGAGGAAGGCAGCCAGGGAACTTGCCCCCATCACGATGCCTAAGGGTGAGGCACCTCAGAGCGAGAAGGTTTGCCCTCCGGCAGGAATAAATACATTTTAAGAACCCAAGCTTGGCGATGGACGTTACATTCATAGCTTTTGGGATACACAGAACACAGACCATCCTCTTGGTCATCTTGTTTAAAGATGATCAGCAAGATGCTCTGTTATAAACTACAAGTGGTCATTTCCACTAGCAGTAACTGGTTTTAATTTGACTCCCAAGACTAAAACTTCTAGACTCACATTATAGTTAATTTAGAGACAAGTCATGGTTGTATAAATGCAAGTGCTTTATTAAGTTTCAGACCACCACAGCGGCGGCGGCAACAGCAGCGTCCGTTGGCTTTAATGTGGGGTCTGCAACAACCACCACAACCACCTCCTCTTCCTTGTCCGTTGGCTTTGCCGCCGCCACCAACACAGCAGCAGCATCTGTGGGGTCTGCAACAACTACCTCCTTCTGCGTAGGTTTTGCCACCAATACAGCAGCATCCGTTGGCTTTGCTGCCGCCACCAACACAGCAGCAGCATCTGTGGGGTCTGCAACAACTACCTCCTTCTGCGTAGGCTTTACCACCAACACAGCAGCATCCGTGGGCCCAGCAACCACGTCCTTGTCCGTTGGCTTTAATGTGGGGTCTGCAACAACCACCACCACAACCGCCTCCGCTTCCTTGTCCGTTGGCTTTGCCACCAACGCAGCAGCATCCGTTGGCTTTGCCGCCGCCACCAACACAGCAGCAGCATCTGTGGGGTCTGCAGCAACCTGCGTTGGCTTTGCCACCAACACAGCAGCAGCATCTGTGGGCCCAGCAACCACGTCCTTGTCCGTTGGCTTTAATGTGGGGTCTGCAACAACCACCACCACAACCACCTCCGCTTCCTTGTCCGTTGGCTTTGCCGTCACCACCAACACAGCAGCAGCATCTGTGGGGTCTGCAACAACTACCTCCTTCTGCGTAGGCTTTGCCACCAACACAGCAGCATCCGTTGGCTTTGCCA